ACCCCCCCAAAAGCTTTCTTGCCAACCTAGATTGCAAATAGAACTGAATGTTCTTCAAAACAACATTTGAAGGGTTAAAAAATGGGTGCAAGAAAACATTATCAAGAACAACAGATGGGATGTGAAAGAAAAATAATTATAAAAATTAACGTTTCAAAGGAAAAGCAGTAAAGGCAGAAGAGTATTTCAATACATTTATATGTTAGTGAGCACAATATGAGTAATTGAGTAAATTCAAATACTAAATATGAAGGTGCATCTTGACACTTCCCAGACTCGTAGGAAGGGAATGTGAAATATTTCTAGAGTAATGGAAGTTTAAGTATTATATAATAAACGGGGAAGCAGAATGGAACTGAAATACCCCCATATGTATGAGAGTGGAAGGGTTTTATCGATCACTGGAATCAGGATGAAAAATAAAAAAGTCAAAAAGGTGGGAGCAGTCACCTAGCAACAAAAAATGCACAGTGAATGGCAGGCTGCTTTCACCTGTGTGCTGGGAAACTGGCCAGAGGCAGCAGGGCAGGTCCCCCACTAATCCTTTTGAAACTCTATTGCACCATGAGCAGGGATCACAGTCAGTAGCCCTTTGCAATATTATTGTTTCAATCAGTGGTTCTCAACCTTCCTAATGTTGTGATCCTTTAGTACAGTTCCTCATGTTATGGTGACCCCAACCAAAAATTTTTTTGTTGCTACTTCTGAACTGTAATTTTGCTACTGTTATTAATTGTAAATATCTGATATGCAGGATATTTGATATGTAACCCCTTGTGAAAGGGTCATCGGACTCCCAAATGGGTCATGACCCACAGGTTGAGAACTGCTAGTATAAATGAAAAGAAGAACAAGTGAGATGCTGATGCTAAAACAAAATTAAACAGTAAGGTCATAAAGTAAACTAATAGTAATAATGTGTGTATAACCATGTTTTAATAAATTACACAATCTATTGCATATGTAATAAGTAAGAATAATGCAAAAGGACACGGTGTGCTAGTTCAGTCATGAAATTCCTATTGAATAAGCTCTGATTGAGTGCTGGGAAAGAGTAAGTGGATGGAGTCTAATTTCAAGTCCGTGCCCATCTTGAGGCAGTTCACACATGGAGCAGGCAGTTACAGGCATGAACTGCAAGCATTCATAAAGCCCAGGTGCTCTGAAATGAAAGAGATCTCTATTGTATTCAAATTACCACCGACCTTTATGAAATGTTACAACAGGATGAAAAAAAGACTGCAACTGGAGTGCATATTAGAGTTCAATATGCAGAGCCCCAGAGGTTCCTGAATTATCCCAAGACAACAGAGAATTAATTTTCATCATGCTCTGTGTAGTGAAATTAGCACTAGAAGATTAACCATGCTCCTTGCACAAGACAGTAGAACACCGAGTTGGGAAAACTGCTCAGCTAATTGTACTTATCTCCATTGCACCCTATGTGATCTTGTGAAACTGTGAAGACAGAATTTGGATAAAGAACTAACCACCAATTTAAACTTTCATTAACTTGTTCATTCATCCTTTAAAGCTTTGCCATTTTGTATATGTCACACACTGTGTGAATTCATGGTGATGTGTCTAAGGAGTAAACTGTGAGCCCTGATGTCATAAAGTGTGAAAGTAAAGACACATGAGCAGTTATGGTCAAGTGTGATAAGTTCAATAAGAGAGCATGTACAGTATCAGGTAATAATTGAGAGAGTAAAGGTAGGAGCAAGGAGGACAGAAGGTGGTGAAATTGTTTTTATTAGAGTTCCTTTTTTATGTTAATTCCAGAACAAATTGTTTATTGAACACCTAACCATTTTAAAAGTATATAGAAATAAAGGACAATGTGAGTCGTGAGATGTATTAAGTAGAGTTGCAGAAAGCTACAAGTAATTCCTACTGCCATCCTATTATCAGCCATGCTTGCCTGTATGTGAGGCCAAATACCTGATAGGGTGCCATCACATGTTTCAGCACTGATTAGCTAATTAACATAAATGTGAAAAATGCTCTCAAAGCTGGGATGTATCACTGACACATTCACACAAAATAAAACAAGCCAAGGTTTCCACAGACAGATATGGCAAGTCAAGGATAATGTCCTTGATTACTGTCAGTACTAATCATAAACACATATTCAAATTAGCTGATGTAGACTTTTAGAGCCCTTCAATAATGTCAGAGTACAAACGACCTGCTGTAACAAAATTTGAGACAGGTGCAGAGCTATATAAGACCAGTGACTCATTTTGCATTTGGAAGACATGTGAAATCTCTTCAGAAAGAGAAACTAGCAATTGCCATTGTAGTCTCTACCACCAAGATTCAATTGGCATAATGTGTCCAGTACTGGGTGTCATGGATATTATATCTTAAAATGTGAGTTACTGTGTCCTTAACTTGAAGTCCAGAAATACCTTAAGTAGGAAGTGAGTCAAAGAATGCAACGTAAAAGAGAAACTGTGCAGACGGAAGTTTCTGTCTTGCCCCATCCTGCAGCCATTCAGTCCCAAATAAACACCAGAGGCTTATATTAATTATAAACTGTTTGGCCAATAGCTCAGGTTTCTTATTGGCTAGCTCTCTCTTAATTATTAACCCATTTCTATTAATCTGTGTATCGCCATGTGGTCTTGGCTTACTGGTGATGCCCTGGCCTCTTGCTTCCTTGGCAACTACATGACATCTCCCTGAATCTGCCTACTACCTTCCCCTATCCCTGTTTGGATTTCCCATTTGGCTAAATCCTGCCTGTTCATTAGCCAAAACAGCTTTATTCATCAACCAATAATAGAAACATATATCCATAGCATACAGAAGGGCATCCCTCATCATTAGCTATTCACAAAAGCCAATATATAGAATCTGCTTACCTGCTCATCACTAGATTAATAGATAAAGAAAGTATGTTGTCTGCCAGGGATGTGGCTCAGTAAATAAAGTGCCTGCCATACAAGCACAAGGACCTGAGTTCAAATCCCCAGGATCCTTGTAAATAGCCAGGCATATCAGTTTGTTCTTGTAATCCCAAAATTGGGGAAGTAGAGGCTGGAAGATTGTGGGATTCATTGTCCAGCCAACATATCTAAATCAATGAGATACAGGTTTAATGAAAGGCCATGTCAAAAAAATCAAGTGGGGATTGATGAAAGGAAGACAGCCCACAGCAACCTCTGACCTCCACATATACACACATGCACTCAGTAACACACCTGAACACACACACATGCTAGAAAGGTGTTTTATGCACACACAGTGGAGGCTTATTCAATTGTAAAAAAAAATTAAAATATGTTACATGTAGAAAACTAAATGGAGCTGGATGTCACCATGGTGAGAAAAATAAGCCAGACTCACACAAATGTAATTTCCTTCACATTTGGAGTCCAGCCATTATATATGAAGACACAGCAGGGATATGTTTAGGAGACAGGGGAGGGAGATTCCAAAATTTAAGTGATCAACAGTCATAAAATTTGAAATGAGTGAATTTTAAATTTAGATTACTGCCACAAGGTGGTGCCATAACAGAAACTGTGGCAAGTAAAGAGGGATTCTTGCAGCATTTTCTCTAAATTTACATAATTTTGCATTACGCTTAGACCTGTTATTGTAAATTGAAGTTCTAGCAAAATTAAGTTATTTTGTTGCACTGTATAAACTGTAACCTCCGGAACAGTAAACTAAGTGTGTTAAGGTTCTACCACATTCTTTAGTTGCTTTTATTTCTTTCTTTGTAGCAATATACTGTGATTTATTTGACAAGCTGAATCACTGGCTATTAAAATGCACTTTAATTTTTTGAGATAAAATTAAACTAAATTGAAATAGTATCACAAAAGCCACTTGAGCAGTGATCTTTGTGGACACAGACCAGAAAGTATGGACCTATGTAAATGAGTCCCTTAGTGCTGGTGAGTATGGCCAAATTGTCCAGTCAAAGTGTCTGGCAATTTAACTGTCAACCAATACTTGATCTTTTTATCAGATACCTGTATCAGAATATTTGTCTTTTTAAAATGTTTCTACCTGACATAAACTTGGTTTAATTATGGCTAAATTTATTATTACTTAGTCATAGTAAGTCATATACAGTGTAGTAAGCCATCCACAGCAATGTTGAAGATGTTTAAAAACCTACAGAGAGTTATCATGGTTTGGGTCAATGAATTGTCAGCTCATATCATTAGCCATTTTCCATTTTTTAAGTGGAAATGTTCTTGTGTGTGACCATCAGATACTTTCATGTACTACAATACAAGTCACTAAATTTGTATGTTAAGATTTTTCTCTTAATTTGTCACTCATCAAAACTTTAACTTTCAAAATAAGATTTTATTTTCAGGTGATCAAATATGAAAGTTTTTTCCCCTTTTAATGTTAAAAAGGTAAAGCTGGAAAGATAGTTCAGAGGCTAAGAGCATTTACTAGGCCACCAGGAACACTGGTTCTGTTCCCAGCACCTATGCTTGGCAGCTCAAAACTGTGTACAGCTCCAGTTCCAGGGAATCCAAATTCCTCTGCTGGCATGAACAAGAATCTGTACACATATGGCACACATAAATTCACTCATGTATGCATATGAACACATAAATGTTTTAAACAATAATACATCATCAAAATAAAAAAAAGGTGTCTTTCTTTTCTCGTGATTTGAAACCTTACCCTTGTTGTTTTCTAGTTCAAATATGCATAGTCCTGTGTTTGGATAGTTATGTTCTGTTCCAAAGTTGACCAAAAGTATAATATACTCAAATGCACTTGCTCACAAATTATCCTGACGACATACAAGGATGTCAGGTAGGAGGGTTTTGCATGAAGTCCCATCCCCAGCCTGATGAGTGCCAGAGATAAGAGATCTGCTTGAAGTCCCATGCGCACACTGGTGAGTGGCTTCAGTCTAAAGACACATTTTCTTTGTCTCAAATTCAGCATTTCAACTATCCTGCTGCACAGCTCTTGTTTGAGATGAAAATACAGTTTTTTTTTCTGTGATTCCCTTTCAGTAGCACAGGAACATTCCAGCTGCAGCAGCTTCCCATGCCAGAATGGCGGCACGTGCATCAGTGGGATAGCTGGCTTCATCTGCGCTTGCCGGCACCCTTTCACGGGTCACACCTGCACTGTGAAGATCGCGGGAGAAAATGCCCTAGCACCAGGTACAGGCCTCACCTTCTCATGCTTCCCAGTGCCACACACAAACGCATGAAGGAAATAGTTGTGAAAGACCATTTGTGCCTTCTTGGCCTGCTTTTCCTGTTTTCTTCACTTCTGTAGATTGGTGTTAGTTGTACATTTACTCTGAGAGTGCGGCACTCCTGGCCCCGAGGCTGCTCAACCAGACAGAGTACAGGCAGGCAGCTGACACCCACAGGCAGTTCAGATCCCACAGGGAAAGGGAAGAATTAACTCCTGAAAGCCACCCCATGACCTAGACACACACACACACACACACACACACACACACACACACACACACACACTAAATTTTAATGTAGCACTCCTGACTTTTATACAAGGAAACGCGTGCAGCGTTTAAAATACATGATCTTTAGTGGCCACAATATTTCAAATCAGGCTTTACCTATTTCTTGTGTTCAAGAGTACATTTTAGTCCAATTTTAATATTTCCTAAGTGTATGTGGCATTAATTATACAAATACTTGCTTTTGCCCGCTTCTCATTGATGAGAAAGACTTTGTTTCATGTCAGTCTCAGCTTCTAGAAATTATACAGAAACTTGTCTCTCCACCTGGAGGCTTCAATTCCTGTGGGGAATTCCGGCTTGGGATAATGATAGCGTTTAAATCCTTCTCCTGGGAATGTAAAACAGTATGTAGGTGACCTTGGAGGTATTTCTACAAGAGAGTTGAGGGATGTCACAATCTAAATGAAGAAACTGAGGCTCCAGGAGACTGAGTGTTTCCACGTACTTTAGCCCACAGTGGAGGCAGGCATCCGGACACATGGGCATTTTTCAGTTTGAGAGAAACCTTGGTGCTTCTGCTAAAGACCGTGTGACCAAGATAAAATGAGAACTATAGGAAGAAAATCAAGATAAAAACCTGAAAAATAACTCTGCCATGTTTTTCCTTGAACAGATTTTTCCAAAGGATCTTACAGATATGCTCCAATGGTGGCGTTTTTCGTATCTCACACTCATGGAATGACAAGACCTGGACCTATCCTGTTCAATGATCTAAGCGTCAATTATGGGGCTTCATATAACCCAAGCACTGGCAAGTTCAGAATCCCATACCTTGGAGTGTACATATTCAAATATACTATTGAGTCATTCAGTCCTCATATCTCAGGGTTTTTAGTGGTAGATGGAGTAGACAAACTTAGATTTGAGTCTGAAAATACTGACAATGAAATGCCCTGTGATAGAGTGTTGACTGGGGATGCCTTATTTGAATTAAATTATGGGCAAGAAGTGTGGCTGCGTCTTGTAAAAGGAACAATTCCAATCAAATACCCACCTGTAACAACATTTAGTGGTTTCTTGTTATACCGAACCTAAGATTGTCTTCGAGGTGACTGTCTTCTTTTTATGTATCCTTGGATACACATCTGCTCTGTTGTGGTATTTCTACACTAAACAAGAAATGTCTTTTAAGAGTTGAGATGGGTATTTCATAAAATGGTTTGGATAGCCTTATAGAAAGGGATTCTTTCTCCTATGGAAATGCAAAGGCACAGAAACCCAATGTGTACGCTACTATAAGCATGCCTACCTATGCTCCTTCATAAGGACTCTCTCCAGTGTAGAATAAAATGTCAGCCACACACTATTGTCAGTCACTGCAGACTTGCCAAGGAAACTTAAATTTTGTTATATTCTCTGTATATATCCTTAGGATGAGAATTTCCTAGAAAAACTAACTCAAACAATTCAAAGGCAAAAAAGTTCATTTTTCAACTTTTACATTTGCTTTATATTAAGTTGATCAGTTTTATATACTAACATTTATATTTGTACTCAAAACTAAGAAAAGTGAAGTAGAAATATGAAATATGTTTAAATATTCTCTTCTCAAAATTGGAAAATGGAGAAATGACCAATGCCTATTTGGACATTTCCACTTAATTGTGCAGATATCAATGTGTATTACTTCTCTGCCTCCATTACATAACATCTATGTGAAGACAAGCACAATGCTTTTTGACTCGCATTCTTTTATTATAATATTGTGGGGGAAACTGGGCTTTCCTTTCGTGGACTCTTAGTCTTAAAAATAAAGGATTTTAAAGATGGATGCTGTTGGAAGTGCAAGTGCCATTTCTTTAATGTCTGAGCAAAAAGTAACAGCTTTATATTTATGCAGCTGGCGGGAGCAGAGAGACAGAGAAGAAAAGGAAAAATCATGAACATTTCTTCCTTTGTCCACTTTTCATCTATATAGTAAGGGGCGTAGTTCGAACATATATACGTAAATGCTTTTGCACTTGTGTAAGCACACATGTGGAGGCCCCTGGCTGATGTTGGGAATTACCCTTGATCACTTTTCCACCTTATTCATTGATACTGAGTCTTGCAGTCTAACTCAGAGTTCTAGGATATGGCCAGTCTATTCAACTTGCTCTGTGGTTCCTCTATTATCAGGATTAAAAACAAGTATAGACACTCAACTATCTGATGCATTCTGAAAATGCTCACTCTTGCCATTGAACTCTTAACTACTGGGCCATATCCCTAGGCTTTCATGCCCTTTTGAATTAGGGTTAAAGAAAGCTGTGTGTTCAGCAATGGAGGCCCAGAAGCAGATACCTGGTGGAAAAGTAGAGGTTGTCAGAGAAAGAGTGAAAAAGCCCAGATCGATGAGAAACATTCCCAGGCTCTTGACAAATATTCAAGAAAGAGAAGCTCAGCATTTGAGGTCAAGTAAAAGAGGCACAGTTCCTCCATGTCACCATCAGCAGCAAAAGAACTTCCCAGAGAGGTTTAGGGACTAAAGTGAGGCCAAAGTAATATTCTCAGTTCCAACAAAACTATTGGGACTAGAGCTGGCAGAGTTGAAAACTTACTAAAGACCTTTTAGTTTAATGAAGAGGGTTAGGAGGAGAAAAGCTTCAGCAGGAAGTAAGGTCCACTGGAAAACATGGGTATGCGCTTCTCTGAAAGGACTAACGCTCATGATTTCCACAATAAGCATCTGTGAATTGTGGGTGGAGTTTGAAGGTATTATCTCAGAAACGGATGGTCCTTTTCAGCTCTGGCAGGATTACAATCGCTAAGGTAAAATTCTACCCCACGAGGATAAGAAGGTAGGGTGAAATTACTGTAAATATGGTCTCGTTTCTTTTGAAAGGGTCACCCAGTGTCTGGGGGAAGGAGTAAGAACTGTACTGGGGGAGGGGGTTTTACGAAATATAAGTACATTACCCCATTAAGGAGACAGGTATTTCTCCCATCTTCTTGGTGTGTCATCCCTGAATCAGACTCCTATAACAAACTGATTGGTAGACAATCTGGAATGATTCTTAAGGAGGAGACAATAAAATGCAATGTTCTAATTCTAGGGACAGATCTTGTCTCCACCTAGGGCCAAAGGTAGAACTCAGATTTCATTCTTTTACCATTAATAGGCTTCAACAAACCCCTGATACCCACACCCTTCCATATGACATGTTAAATACCCAGGAGGCCAGGAGGGGGAGTTGTGATGTTTTCCTTCTTAGTGTTATCAGGGAAATGGGAGATGAGAAGTATACTGGCTATGAGGGAGAGAATCATCCTCAATGGCCTTGGAGTCTGCTAATCCTTATCCAGATACCTAAAAGTAGGACATGCTGATCCATGCCTATTCCTAAAAGGGTAAGTACTAATCTGTATGAGTCAATGGGTTCCTGGATGCTTACTGTGTCTTTGTCTTCCAAAGAATTTGTATACAGGTTCTCATTGACTCCTACACAACATGTAGGAAGGTGTCATGTCAGCAGCAATGAAGCTAACTACCATTATTTTTAGAATAATACTTTCGGTTCATATTTGACAAAGGATTTCTGAATATATTCTCATGAGTAATAATAAAAACAATGAGAATATTTTTATAATGCCAGCATTTCTCCAGAGTAAATTTTAATGGTGACTATTTACCATTAATTGTGTGTTAATCTATCAAATACGTATTATATATTGCCATCGTCTTTCTGTCCATGAGAAACAGAGGCACAGAGAAGCTGAGAGATTTTTCCAATGTAGCAAATGATGAACATGTGAACATATTAATATAAAACTGTTTCCCATATCCTCATCAAGTCTTACAACTTTTAAAATGTTTCCAATGTTAAAAATGAAAATAGCATTTTCATGTTATAGACATTTGAAAATTTTTATTATATTTACTAAAAATTGAAAGCATATGTCAATTCCAAGAATACACATGAATGTTCATAGTAGTTTTATTAGTGGTATCTCAAAGCAGTGTGTCACGCACATGTCCAAAAGACAAGTAGAAATTTCTCATCTATCCACTCAGTGGACAAATACCAGTTAATGCAAGGACAGACACATTACAGCACCTATGAATGTCAAAAGAGTGATTTAGGGTCTGGAGAGATGGTTCAGAGGTTAAGAGCACTGACTGTTCTTCCAGAGTCCTGAGTTCAATTCCCAGCACCCACATGGTGGCTCACAACCATCTGTTATGAGATCTGGTGCCCTCTGCTGGTGTGCAGATATACATGGAAGTAGAATGTTGTATATGTAATAAATAAAAATAAAATCTTTAAAAAAAAAAAGAGTGATTTAGCAGTTTGTGACCTATAGCCAATTCTACAAGTGAGCCTTGTGCACGTGGAGGCCGTGAACACACTCAGAGCAGATCAGCATATAGGGGAGAGCTGAGTCCTGGAGGCTTCTCTCATGTCTCCCTGATTTTTAAGAAAATTCAAAAAGCAAATACTTTCTGCAGCCCCTGGTCAGAAAATTAGCATAGTTAAAATGCTGTTTACCTTGTTTCTTCAAATAGGAGTAAACATAGGTTTTTCTTTCTGAGTGCATTTACAGTGTCTGTGTCTATCTATGCTCTGTTCTTCTGTATTGGAAAGCTAGGTAACCACTCCACAGCACTCAGGCTTGGTTGAGCTGTGAGTTTTATAATTAAGTGACTGACATATAGCCTTATCAGAGGTTTTGGTGTTTTGGAATTTTAATGTTTAACATTAATCTTTGTATGCATATTTATGGGATATAAAGTTAGATAACAGAGTCACCAATGGCTAAGAGGTATTATAGGAACCTTAAGTTGCTTGAACTTGCTTGGCTGTGTTTTAAAAGTGAACAAGTATAATTTAAGCAACTTAGGAATGTCTTTCTGTCATGGTAAATTTACTCATATAGTAGAAAAAGCCAGCACAGGGGGTTTTCTTGAGTTCTTCTATGGAGATGGTGGGGTTCTTCCTCCTCCTCCTTCTGCAGATTCAGTCATGAAAACTCTTCTTATGCCTCGTTGCCACCAAGCTCCAGGGAATTTCCCAGCCCCTGACTGCTGACACCATCCCCTCATCCATGCTTATGAGATAATATGACAGATATTTAAAACCTTTATAACATAATCTAAGAGCAAATATCCTGTGAGTCAGTACAAACATGTTCTTAGTTGATACAGCTCCCAGAGTCAGGAAAGTGTCTGTCACAGACTGCTTCATGCCAGTTCCGGAAGAACAGAGATATATCTGATTAAATATTATTCTTTCTTCTGTGTCTGTGGTCAAACTTGCAGTCCAGGGGTTGAGATTCCATCTTTTAAAACCCTTTGTTAAGACTGTAGTGACATCACATCAGAAAAGAGCACTTTTTGCTCTTGCAGAGTACCTGATTCAGTTCTCAGAACCTACGTGGCAGCTCACTACTGCCTACAGCTCCAGTCCTAGGGGATCTGATGTTGCTTTCTGACATCTGAGGGCTCCTGAATACACACTGTGTACCTACATGTCCTCAGGCACACACACATGCACCTTTAATTAATTAACTAAGTAATTAAACAAGTAAATAGTAAAAACAAAAATGTACCTAAATTTGTTCTTTCTTACACTATTTTATCAGCCCAAAGACAAATTTTTTTTTTAGACATTACCAAATGATTCAAATATGACAAGATGACTTCTTTGGTTGCCCATTTAAATCTTCTTAGGGTTGTTTTATTTGCTCACAAAATAAATATACTATTTTAAAGAAACCTAATTTGAAGATACTCAGTAAAACCATACAAATATATACTTCATGTCTTATATACTTCATGCATATTAAATGTCAATTTATGACATATGCATGTTAATAGTTACATAGAATATGTATATTTTTTATGAATGAGGCAGTTTATTAACCCAGCATCCTTTGTTCTAATGCTTCTTGTTGGCAGCTGCCACCTGTCCGGCAATCCTGTCCAGATCTCTTTGTCCCTGAGGTCCTTTTCCACTGTTTTCAGTCCTCCAGGGCATGGAGGACTCTGCGGGCCACATTCTTGGAGCCTCTGCTGAAGTGGCTGGGTCTGACACGGTTTCTCTGCCGTCCTAACG